ACAAAAACAACGGAGTGGTCTAGCGGTAGAGAGTCTCGAGTTCGAATCCGGGTTAAAGTCAGTAGACCGTCCCTGAGTCCACCCAGCTCTGATGGGTACCAAACTCACGTTAGGGAAAGTAAAGGCGGCTTGGCATAGTTCTGAGCACACTATCTCTTCATATGCCGAAGATCACAGAAACAAGTGAACTCTACTTCACTTGCCCCATAGACCGTCAGGTTTGAAAGGGAAACTACTTTTTTTAACAACGCAAGAATTAAAATAAATAATAAAACAGAAAAAATATATACAAAAGTAAAAACACTACAATAAAAACACACAACAATGAAAACACTACAATAAAAACACACAACAATAAACATAAACAATGTAAACACTTGAAAATATACACCCATGAACATACAACAATAATAAAAAAACATACAGCAATATAAACACAACATTAAAAACATATAACAATAACAACACAAAAATTAAAACACACAACAGTAAAAAAGACACAACACATCCCATAAGAAACAGGTAAATTAAACCTTCTCTGAAGTCCAAAACAACGTCACCTAAGCCACATCTAACAAGCGAGATTAACCACAAATGTTGGCCTACTAATGTGATGGATTAGCCTTGAGTCAAACTAAACGTACGCTACCTTGATGCTTGTAAGCTACATTCTTGTTCTTGTCTGTTGTAGCATACAAATAGCATACGAGTAGCTTACAGGTGGTATACGAGGTACAATACAATTTATGGCTGGGGAACTCGGAGGTTTTGTAGATAGAAAACGTGAGAAGATTTGTCTTTTATGTAGTGCAATTATTATTTTTTAGGTGGTATACAGGAGTAGATGTAATTGTGTGGCAGGTTAGTGTATGTAGGTGGTTATCTAGACTAAAACTTCTGATAGTTTGATGATGTTGGTTGGTGGAGATTTTGCTGAGGTGCATGGAAATGATTTACTGTATTGCGAACCTCAACTACTAATATATATATATATATATATATATATATATATATATATATATATATATATATATATATATATATATATATATATATATATATATAGGTTTAGATATGTCGCTCTCTCTCTCTCTCTCTCTCTCTCTCTCTCTCTCTCTATATATATATATATATATATATATATATATATATATATATATGTATATGTATATATATATATATATATATATATAACAAGTAACAAGTTAGTTATTTGATATTTTGTCTAAATTGTATCAGAATTTAGGACAGGTTAGGTTTCTACTATCATTTAGTAATCGAACTTGCATTAGAACTTGATCAATAAATAGCTTGCGTGGAACTAATTATATTAATTTAATTGTTGGTCAAGCAAATAGTTCATGGCCAAACTAATGTACGTTGATCAACATAGTAGATAAGTCACGGTGGCCAGTCTGATTTTTGATGGCCAATTATGTAAAGTTGGCCTAAATAATTTCGGTTGGCCAATAGCATGTCTTAGGAAAATAATTAGAAGATCATGTAACGTTTGCCTAATTAATATTTGTTAACGAATTTAACGTCTATTGGAAATAATGTACCCATTGGCTAATCAGATGTATTTTGTCAACTGTGTGATCCGGCCTATGAATGATGAAATAGATCAATATTTTAGCGTTGTGTCTTTTAGCATTGCCTGGTTACGATGAAGTTGAGGCTATAGACAGCAAATATAAATATTATTATCCTTTGGGCTTTGAGTCAAACTCTCAAACAGTGAATAATATTTCTAACTGTAAAAAAAATATTCGTTCGCCATTCATAAAATTGAAAACCTTTTTTTTTTTCAAATGGTCTAGAGTTGTCGAACTTTGTATTCAATTCCAGGAAGGTAGATAATCCAACAGTTACCCGCATCGAACTCAGCCGCCTTAAAAAGGGAAGCAACCTAATAGACTGATCACATTGAATCTCGTAAGGGAAATTATCCACTTTGGCCACCACACTGACTATTTTTCAAGAAACCAATCCGACACACAAATGAGTAATTACTGTGGACACTGATTGGAGAAAAAAAAACAAATGAGAAGTCACAGAGTTCAATAAGGGGAGACAATAACGAAGAAAACATAGTAGGGGAAATAATCCGACCGAGTCACAACAATGAACTAGATGACTTCGACTATCTAGTTCCGATTGCTAAAAAAAATTTCTAAACTTTTCTTGTTTTGTCTTCAGTAATTCTTGCACCAAACTTGTCTTGTATAATGTTTTAGATCAATTTCACTGGAGTCGTTGTAAACAATATAATCAATCATGTGTCGCCTCCCTTGAGTAAGGTGACATTGGAACAAATTTAAGACTTGGATTACAAGATTGGAAAATTGTTTCAGCGTACTAAAATGTCATGGAATGAGGTGGTAGTGAAGTAGAGCGCATGTTTCATAAAATGTTAATTTTAAGTTCTCGACCCAAATCTGAAACCAGTATCTGCGCCAACCCAGCCCGTTTTGGTAACTAATTTAAAGTTAGATAGACATTGTCTCTACTTCGCTTGAATCATGATACTCCGCTTCTTTCATTATACTCTGCTAGTATCTCGATACAATGTGTGACACAAAGCTGATATTCTTACCCATAGTCTGTTTATATCATGATGTTACGCGTGTATGCTAATATTCCATTAATGACGTGCTAATATAATGATACTTTGCTTGTATCATCAAATTTCACATGTAGCCTGTGTGTTCACCAATCAAATTCCTTACTCTTAACTCGAGTACGGTCATCTTCTGAGATTCGTGTTGCAGATATTCCATGATTTAACTCACCTGGTATTTTTTCTTGTGAAGGCGTTATGTCGAAACGTTTGTTTATATGTTTCGACCTCTCCTAATATTTAAATACAAATTAAACGAATATTTTTGGATAGCACTTCGTCTTTTTTTTTCTACAAATTCTACACGACCGCTTATCTTTCTTTATGTCTTTAGAAGTTTTGTCTTTAGTACATCTACGTATTGAGCACCAATAGCGTGAGGCAATACACCAACTCTATGTAGGTATTTTCTATGGTTTTGTCTTGGTAATATTGTACTAAAGAACATCCCATCAAAGTCAAGGACTGATTATCTCTGAACTGAAAAACAAAATGGCTTCTTCTACGAAAAGAACTGTCACTCGTGATGACTTATCTTTCCTGACAAATTGAAAGTAGAGATGGGAAGGGGGGGGGGGGGGGGGGGAGGGGGGATAACAATTATCCATAGATTAGGCTAGAGCTTCGTACATTTTTAATTTTTTTTTTCTTATTATTGAGAAAAACTCATATTTTTCTTGTTACATCAACGAGAACTGGAAAAAAAAAAATTAAAAATGATAATCCCCAAGTCCATTTTGGGACTGAAATTATCCACTTTTATCTTAACAAGTTAAATTGATCAAGGGATAATTTGACTGGTTTACTTGTAAAATCGTCACATGTATTTAAAATATAAAAATTGTATATAAAATACAGTTTAGTTTTTTTAATTTGCTCTAATAAACATAAGAAGCACTTTGCTTGGTTCTAGCAGAGTATTGAACTAGAAATACATAATTCCACACATACAAACGAACCACTGTTTCTTTCAGGCATCTTATCACCTACCGCCCGCCACACCCCCACCCCAATACAATTAATACATAATTTTTTTTGTTTTCAATCCGCATCTCCCCCCCCCCCCCCCGAATAATCAAGTATGAAAGAAACACTTATACGAACTCACACAGACCAACATTCACACAGCATTTTACAAACATACCAATACGAACACTGAAATACACATACAAATGCACACAAAAGCACACACACTTACATACACACACGATCAACATAGCACAGTTATGATGATGAAAACTCTTGCAGCAAAGAAAAACAAGAAAAAAAAAATAATCGCTTGTATAATTAACCTCACGCTTTCCGAGCTAGTAAGAAAAAAAAACAACTAATGACGCACGTAATTTTTTTTTTATTTTCATCACCCCTATACCCCCCCCCCCCCCCACCCGCTCCTCGCGCCCTCTACACCAGAAAGTAAACAATCTAGCTCAACCTAATTCTGCTTGCACTTATTTATTGAAGCCGTTTACGAAAAATCACGAATAGATAAATATTCTTTAAATACCTGTACATAAACCAGGCTAATGGCGGCAGGGTTTTTTTTTACAGGTGAAACTCTAGACCACACTTTTCAATTTAAAATGTGGTGCTACTGTTTTTAAAAGGATTAAACATGAACTCAGTAGGTTTACTTTAAGTTGGTATGGGATGCAGAGGCGTAGCGACCCTTCCCGGCGCCCGGGAATAAACTTTCGATTTGCACCCCCCCCCCCCCTCGAGATTTCCATTTGCACCCCCCCCCCTTAAACTTTCGATTTGCACCCCCTCAACCTTTCAATTTTTTCAACCCATTTTGGCGCCCCTAAGGTCGGCGCCCGGGGACATATGCCCCCCCCCCCTCGCTACGCTACTGATGAAATCTGACGAGTTATTCCGTTGTTGTAGCTCAAGGTAAGCTGTACAGGTCATGTTGGATGGTGCTGTGTAGAAAGCAGACCATAAAGTAATCCTTAACTTAACTCATGACTTTAAATAAAACATTATAAATAATTTAATTAAACCCTTAATCGAATCGAAACCTTGCCCTAAAATTAAAGCCTAACTTAACGATACTGAACACAAAGAACACGGTTATACAAAATCTTAAACCTAAACATTATTTTGACCATCAACTTAGACTTTAATTTAGGGCGACACCCCAGCCCTACAGGCCTACACCTAAAATCTGTGTTTAAATATAACAATGAGCCTAACACAATAAGTGAATTTAAATCTTTCAAAATAAGCTAAAATTGTACACACATTTTTACAAACATAAACCCGATGCAAAATCGAATCGTAAACCTAATCTCCAAACCGTAACCCAGATCCTGACTGGCTATGACCAGTAGTTCCAGCCACGACCAGTGGCCGATAGTTCCAACCAATGACTGACCAGCCATATCGATTTATGTCCCCTGCAGGTGGCCAACTGCGGCTATTGCGTCATCATCATCGGCGTGTACTGGGTGACGGAGATCATCCCTCTGGCCATGACGTCACTGCTGCCCGTCGTGCTGTTCCCGCTATTTGGGATCATGTCAGCCAAGACCGTCTGCATGGCCTACGTCCAGGTAAGGCTCACGTGACTGGTCATTGAACCCCCACATCTGTATAATATTCCACCCCTCTGCCCGAGGCATTTAAAAACTGTGAGAGTGTAGTTTTTAAATTGCAAGTAACACATTCTTTCACGTAATGTGGCATGTCTTAAGCAACATATTATTTGCAAACAGCATTTAAAAAAAATTTGATACGGGTAATTCTAACCTGTCTTTTATGTATCGTCTTTGACCACCTGTCTTTTGGCTACCTGTCTTTGACTACCTGTATTTGACCATATGCAGTCAACCTCCTCTAATTGACTACCTTATTTGACCTGTATTTCACTACCTGTCTTTGACCACCTGTCTTTGACTACCTGTCTTTGACTACCTGTCTTTTGACCACCTGTCTTTGACTACCTGTCTTTGACTACCTGTCTTTGACTACCTGTCTTTTGACCACCTGTCTTTGACTACCTGTCTTTTGACCACCTGTCTTTGACTACCTGTCTTTTGACCACCTGTCTTTGACTACCTGTCTTTGACTACCTGTCTTTGACTACCTGTATTTGACTACCTGTCTTTGACTACCTGTATTTGACCATATGCAGTCAACCTCCTCTAATTGACTACCTGTATTTGACCTGTATTTGACTACCTGTCTTTGACTACCTGTATTTGACCTGTATTTGACTACCTGTCTTTGACTACCTGTATTTGACCATATGCAGTCAACCACCTCTAATTGACCACCTGTATTTGACCACCTGATATTGACCATGAGTTTTAAAGTACCTGTAATTAATCACCTGTAATTAACCACCTGTAATTAACCACCTGTAATTTACCCCCTGTATTTGACCACCTGTAATTAACCACCTGTAATTAACCACCTGTCTTTGACCACAGGACACCTTGATGCTGTTCCTAGGGAGTCTGATCGTAGCTGTGGCCGTAGAGAAATGGAACCTCCACAAACGTCTGGCCCTCAGAACACTGACCATGGTGGGGCCACAACCCAAGTGGTCAGTACCTGCAAACATCATCATACCTTTCTGGTCATTATAGGCAGAATGTAGCTTAATTAAAATAATTAATTACAGAAACATAACTAGAACATACCTTATGAATCCATTATGTGCCCCGCTAACCAAAAAGTTCATCTTAAAGTACAGCATTGTCTTACAATCTTCATCAACCAACGGGCTACACTTAGTGCTACCCTCTAACACCCTCCCTCTACCAACAGGCTACACTTAGTGCTACCCCCTCTACCAACAGGCTACACTTAGTGCTACCCCCTCTACCAACAGGCTACACTTAGTGCTACCCCCTCTACCAACAGGCTACACTTAGTGCTACCCCCTCTACCAACAGGCTACACTTAGTGCTACCCCCCTCTACCAACAGGCTACACTTAGTGCTACCCCCTCTACCAACAGGCTACACTTAGTGCTACCCCCCTCTACCAACAGGCTACACTTAGTGCTACCCCCTCTACCAACAGGCTACACTTAGTGCTACCCCCTCTACCAACAGGCTACACTTAGTGCTACCCCCTCTACCAACAGGCTACACTTTGTGCTACCCCCTCTACCAACAGGCTACACTTAGTGCTACCCCCTCTACCAACAGGCTACACTTAGTGCTACCCCCTCTACCAACAGGCTACACTTTGTGCTACCCCCTCTACCAACAGGCTACACTTAGTGCTACCCCCTCTACCAACAGGCTACACTTTGTGCTACCCTCTAACACCCTCCCTCTCCCCACAGGCCACCCTTAATGCTACCCTCTAACACCCTCCCTCTCCCCACAGGCTACTCCTGGGTGTGATGCTACCCACCTGGTTCCTGTCTATGTGGATGAGCAACACAGCAACCACCGCCATGATGATGCCTATAGTGGCGGCCATTTTGTTGCAGATTCGTGAATGCCAGAATTTAAGTACGTCTTCACAGCTTTAGAAAATTATTTAACACTACAAAATTTACGTATGTTAACATTTTCTCAAGTTAACAAAGACCCGACAACAATGAATGGTACTCGACTTATAGGCTTAAAAGTTAACTACCAAAAATTTACTTCAGTAACAAACCTAAATTTTAGTTTAAATTTCTTAAGTTTTTTTAAACAACTTTTTTTTCAAAATAGTCTAAAATATTATCAGTCTAGTTTATGTAAGAAACATCAATAAAAACCGTTTGCCTGTACGTATATCGGGTTTTTTGTAGGCTATTATTCAAGTGTATGTGAATTACTTTTAAATTCAATCCCAAACAGTTAGTGTGTGGGGTGACTATAGATAAACAATCTGATTGGCTTATTCCAAAAAAAGGTAGTCGTAGCCTATAGCTTTAAAGTCAATACTGTCCTTTAATATTGTTCAGTGATTTTTTTTTTCATAAAAACTGTAGTTAATTATAATATAGATAGCCTTGATCTAAAGTGGTTTTGAGATGTGCTAAGTATCCGATATAAAAATACGCCGGAATATTTTATCAGAAATAATTCATGAAATTTTATAAAAGTTTATATTTTATCAATTTCTCTTTACTCAGAAATAGCAGTCTACCAGAAGTGTAGGAGGTAGCGTCTAAATTATGTAGTATGGCATGCTATGATTGTGTCATACATAAGATTAACCCTTTCTGTTCATTCATTTCCATTGACCTTCTTCTGCGCATGCCCCAATCTCCCCCCCCCCTTCCCCACCTCCGAGCTATTCTATATCGGGGAGAGATAAATAGCCAAAAATAAATAAATGCCCGCATCACGTGATCAAGTACCCAGCATTCCACGCGATAATTCAGACCACTGCAAGGCTTGTGGGATAGATAAATTATTGGGTGGCTGGTCAGAGCAGAGCAAAACAAAAACAAAAAAAAAATTGGGGAACTTTTTTTACAGGTTAAAGGTCAAATCTGAAACCGAATGGATAAATTACAGATTTGTTGAAAAATAAAAGCAAAAATAGTCGTTAGGGTTTTTATTGATCCAAAAACTGGTCAAAATTGATGCCCAATTTCATTTGTGGAGTTTTGAACAACAACACTATCGTTGTGCAGGGTATAGGGTGGGGCTGATTCAGCTGGATTTTTATAAGTGAGGGGTGGGGTGGGGGTTGCGGACATTATGAGTATGACTTGTTTTCTACGTGTGTTCTAACAACGTGTGTGATGCCTTATAACTTACGATTCGTACAAGTATTCATACAAAGTATTTTGCCTCATGATATGACTATGTTTACAATGTATGTCCTAAGTATGTTACCTTATTACGTAAGTCTCTCGGTGTCCAGACAAAAGTCAGCTGATTTATGACTTATGACGTAACCGTCCCTTTTGAGTTCATCTGACTTGAGACGTAAGATTCCTTGAGTGTCCATACAAAAGTCAGCTGACTTATGACGTAAGTTTCCCTAAATGTACATACAAAAATCAACTGACTTATGACATAAGTCCTTGAGTGTCTGGACAAAGTCAACTGACTTATGACGTAAGTTTCCCTGAGTGTCTGGACAAAGTCATCTGACTTATGACTTACGTCCTACGATTCCAGACAGCCAGGAAGAATCCCTACTGGACGAGAATCTGATGGTGACTGTGGTCACAGAGGAGACCACAGAGAACAACCACAGTGATGGTATCACGGATAAAGAGAAACTAAGCCTCGATGAGGAAATGTAAGTGTTGATGAGGAAATGTAAGCCTCGATGAGGAAATGTAAGTGTTGATGTATCTATGGAAAACATAGAGTAACCGTTAATATAATGAAAGGTATGTGTATGATTTAATATAGCACCTTCAGTATAGCACTCTCAGTATAACACACTCAGACTAACACCCTCAGTTAAAAAGTGTGACCAAATGACAACAAATGTGACAAAATGACAACAAATGTGACCAAATGACAACAAATGTGATTAAATGACAACATATGTAGCTTTATGTAGTTTAATGTGCACAAAAAATACATAAATAAACCGAAAAAGTTGATCATACCGTCAGGATTCATTTCATGTGTATTTTAATGTATCAAATACGTTCATCTGCTCATAGATGAGTCCTTTAATGTGAATATTAGTGCAGGGGCGTAGCGAGGGGGGGGGGGGCGGGGGGTGCGGACCGCACCGGGTGACACCATTTAGGGGGGTGACACCAAGGCAAAAAATAGCAAAATATATAGAGAAAAACTTGAGGGGGGGGGGGTGCAAATCGAAAGTTCGAGGGGGGGGGGGTGCAAATCGAAAGTTCGAGGGGGGGGGTGCAAATCGAAAATTTGAAAGTTTGTCCCCGGGAAGGGTCGCTACGCCTCTGAGGGGGTGACACCATTAAGTGCCGCACCGGGTGACACCCGACCTCGCTACGCCACTGTATTAGTGTATTGAATAAATGTAGGCCTATATGCTTCTACATGTGCAGGCTCAAATCAGTGCGTCCAATAAGTGTATCTTCCCCTAATGTGTACATTACAGCATCCACTAAAATTACCCTCACCCACCGAGATCCCCTAATGTTTACCTTTACCCATAGAGATCCCCTAATGTTTACCCTCACCCACACAGATCCCATAATGTTTACCCTCACCCACACAGATCCCATAATGTTTACCCTCACCCACACAGATCCCATAATGTTTACCCTCACCCACACAGATCCCCTAATGTTTACCCTCACTCACACAGATCCCATAATGTTTACCCTCACCCACTAAGATCCCCTAATGTTTACCCTCACCCACAAGGATCCCCTAATGTCTACCTTTCCCCCCAGGAGTCCGCTGACGAGAGAAGAAAAAGAGAAACAATTCCTGGCTTTCGCCAAGACGTTCTCCCTGTCCACAGCCTTCAGTGCCAACATAGGGGGCGTGGCCACGCTCACTGGCACGCCACCTAACGTCATTTTTAAAGGACTAGCAGACGTGTAAGACGTGATTTCATTAGTGTTTTACTCAATAATCACTTCTTGTGTATTCGCTCTCTCATTAAATATAAGAAGTTGATTAAACCACATTAATTAATTAATTAAATTATTATTGATCTAATTTAAAAAAAAAATTAAAATCGGTATTCAGTTTATGCAAATGCAAATTACTTATTTTCATAATAACCCCCCCCCCCCACCTCCCCCGCCCCCTCTTCCCTTCCATTTAGAAACATTTAAACTCATTCAGTTTACAGAATTTGTTCGAATTGTTTGAAAATGTGATACTGAGAACATAATCAGCTTTGCGAAATGTTCAAAATATAAATTTAACAAATGTACTTTAATTTTGTTCTTTATTTGCTAAAACTTTACTAATTAATGTTCATGAATTATGTTCTTTGTTTGCTACAACTTTATCTAATGTTCATGAATTATGTTCTTTCCTTGCTACAACTTTACCAACTGTTCATGAACTGTGTTATGTTCCAGACTGTACAAAGAATACGACGCCAAAAATCCCATCAACTTCGCCAACTGGTTGGGGGTGGGGATGCCTCTAGCCATAATTTTATTGCTGTTTTTATGGCTGTGGATGCAGCTCTACTCACAGGGACTAAGGTAAGTTTTAATGACATTTATAATGAGATTTTTTAATGAGATTTTAATGAGATTTTTAAAATCAGATTTCTATGGGATTTTTCAATGAGATTTTAATGACATTCGTAATGAGATTTTTAAAATTAGATTTTTAGGGGATTTTTATGATTTTTTAAAATGAGATTTTATATTTTAAGATGTAGATGTTTTTTTTTATTGAGAGAATGTTATTTTCAATATTTTTATAAGATTCAGTTTTAACGGTAATATATAATTGAAACAGTTGCTTGAAATTTTGGAAGAAAGACAGAACGTCTTACGAGAAAGTCAGGGTGGCGCTGAGAAAAGAATATATCAAACTTGGACCCATGAGGTACGTCATCTATCTTGACGCTATGTTGTGGTATGGGGTGGTTGGGAGATAGAGCGAACGTTACTAACACGACATTTTGGAGTTCGGTTCATGAATTCGAATCCGCAGGATATTCCTGAGTTCACTCAGCTCTGATGGGTACCTGGCAATATTTACGGGATGTAAAGACGGCCGTGAATAGTACTCAAAGCTATCCTTTCATATACCATAGTTAAATAAACAGTTAAACTCTACTTCGTCTGCACTCTGGACCGTCTGATCGAAAATTCGGCTGTGAATAATACTCAAAAGCTATCCTTTCATTTACCATGGTGAGATAGCCAGATGAACTCTACTTTGCCTGCACCGTCTGATCTAAAAGGGTTGGTTACCTTAATGTTGTCTATAGGGTCAAGGGGGAGAAGGTTAAGCATAAAATATCTTTGAAGAGGTGGCATCATATTGAAGAGTGTTTAGCTAGAAGTATCACATGGACGATGAAAGCACATGCAAGTGATACAAACGTCTACTATTCACAAAGCTGCTATGATGAAGCAGTTTGCGTCTGTCCGATACCCGCCAAATGAAATAGACTCCTAATTGCTTCTAATTCTGCCCATCCCCTTTAAACGAGCACTTATAATTTGCTTTTGATGAGTTTATGAATCATCCGCGAAAACGTAACCACATGGAGATGTGCTTAGATTATGTACTTAATGATTCGCGTCAGGTGCAATTTCCCAAAGTCATCGAACCTAAAGATTCGCATTTCGCAAAATTTGTTCTCGCAACGACGCCACTAAAACATACATTTTACTGTAGGATATTTTAAATCAATTATTTAAAAAATGTATTCACGCAAGATTTTGTCAACAGTTTTGCTGAAATTCTGGTGACCATTTTCTTTGTGCTGTTGGCAGTCCTGTGGGTCACACGGAAGCCGGGATTTATCCCGGGTTGGGACGCTTTCTTCAAGCCTGGGTTAGTGGCTTCTTTATTCATTAAGCTAATTGATTCAATACTACTAGGTTCGTTGCTTCTTTAATTAATTGATTCATTACTATTTGGTTAGTTTTTGTTTAATTAATATTGGGTTCACCTAATTTGAACGATACTTAAATTATCGGGTTTAGAAAAAAACGGATAGTGAATATAGTACGACTTCCAGTTACTGGGATTCGCGCAAAAGATCTTATTCTTACATAGGAAATGTCGTCCGCCTATCTGAAAAGTTACTCAAGTTACCGTATAAAACACACACACACACACATACACACATGTATACAGGCAAGAATGCAAAACTGTTATTGATTTCAGTTCAGAAAGGTGAAAAAAGTCGAGATTTATCAACATTTATTTTAATTGTGTGCTTGATTACAAAAGCTTCCACTTGCTACTCCTATACAAGAACTTTTTTTTTTATAAAATCAGAGAACCACTTTAACAAAGTTCAATGACCTGTCCCTTCTCCAGGTATGTGGGGGACTCCACACCTGCGATTCTGATTGCTGTCTTGCTGTTTATCTTACCTGCTCGGGTACCGGCATGGCTGAGGTGTTGCTCATCAAAACCTGACATTTGTAAGACGTGCTTCAAAAAACGATATTAGTTAATTAATTACCACACAATTATTAGAGTAACCCTAGCTTTCCAATTTTTTTCAAAAAATTCGTAGAGTCATAGATTAATTGTAAACCTACCTATAGCCTACGCCCTAAATCTTCCAATTAGAAATACAATAACCCAATAGTTGACTGTTTGTTAGGTAAAATGATAATAGACAATATTTATATTGATATAGAATAGGGTATTACATAAATACCTACATTCTAAAAAAGAAAAAAAAAAATAACCAATCCCCCCCCCCCCCTCTAACACTAACACTATACCTTCTTCGAGTTAAAAAATTCGATTTTGTCTATGATATATTGCAACTTTGACTTATAAAAATCTGAATAATTTACCTAATTAATACTTAACTGTGAATTAAAACTTAAGTTAACTTTTTTTTAAGTTAACTTTTTTTAAATTTCAAGTTAACTAATTTGCCCTCAAATATTTGACAAAATCCCTTTTTCTGTCCATAACTATTCGGCAAGTTCTCGTTTCTGCCCATAAATATTTGACAAAATCCCAATTTCTGCCCACAGCTGGAGCTATCCAGTCCCAAATGGGCTACGAGCCCCTGCTAGACTGGGGCACCGTCAACAAGAAAATGGCCTGGGGTGTGCTCCTCCTCATGGGGGGCGGGTTTGCTATGGCGGAAGGCTGTGAGGTAACTATTGTTTACAGTATGCTTTAGGTACCAATAGCTTTACAGTATGCTTTAGGTACCAATAGCTTCACAGTATGCTTTAGGTACCAATAGCTTTACAGTATGCTTTAGGTACCAATAGCTTCACAGTATGCTTTAGGTACCAATAGCTTTACATTATGCTTTAGGTACCAATAGCTTCACAGTATGCTTTAGGTACCAATGGCTTTACAGTATGCTTAAGGTTCCATTAGTTTTACAGTATGCTTAAGGTAACAATAGCTTTACAGTATGCTTTAGGTACCATTAGCTTTACAGTATGCTTTAGGTACCAATAGCTTTACAGTATGCTTTAGGTACCATTAGCTACACAGTATGCTTTAGGTACCAATAGCTTCACAGTATGCTTTAGGTACCATTAGCTTTACAGTATGCTTTAGGTACCAAAAGCTTCACAGTATGCTTTAGGTACCAATAGCTTTACAGTATGCTTTAGGTACCAATAGCTTTACAGTATGCTTTAGGTACCAATAGCTTTACAGTATGTTTTAGGTACCAATAGCTACACAGTATGCTTAAGGTACCAATAGCTTTACAGTATGCTTTAGGTACCAATAGCTTCACAGTATGCTTTAGGTACCAATAGCTTTACAGTATGCTTTAGGTACCATTAGCTTTACAGTATGCTTTAGGTACCAAAAGCTTCACAGTATGCTTTAGGTACCAATAGCTTTACAGTATGCTTTAGGTACCAATAGCTTTACAGTATGCTTTAGGTACCAATAGCTTTACAGTATGTTTTAGGTACCAATAGCTACACAGTATGCTTAAGGTACCAATAGCTTTACAGTATGCTTTAGGTACCAATAGCTTCACAGTATGCTTTAGGTACCAATAGCTTTACAGTATGCTTTAGGTACCAATAGCTTTACAGTATGCTTTAGGTACCAATAGCTTCACAGTATGCTTTAGGTACCAATAGCTTTACAGTATGCTTTAGGTACCAATAGCTTTACAGTATGCTTTAGGTACCAATAGCTTCACAGTATGCTTTAGGTACCAATAGATTCACAGTATGCTTTAGGAACCAATACTTAACAGTATGCTTTAGGTACCAATAGCTTTACAGTATGCTTTAGGTACCAATAGCTTTACAGTATGCTTTAGGTACCAATAGCTTCACAGTATGCTTTAGGTACCAATAGATTCACAGTATGCTTTAGGAACCAATACTTAACAGTATGCTTTAGGTACCAATAGCTTTACAGTATGCTTTAGGTACCAATAGCTTCACGGTATGCTTTAGGAACCAATACTTAACAGTATGCTTTAGGTACCAAAAGCTTCACATTATGCTATAAGTACAATTACTTTCACAGTATGCTTTAGGTACAATTAGCTTCACAGTATGCTTTACTTTAAGGACAATTAGCTTCTCAGTATGCTATAGAATGTTTTAGGTGCCATTAGCCTAAGTATGCTTTATGTATTATTAGCTTCACGGTATGCTTTAAAAGCAAACAGTGTGTTAGCTAATATTGTGAATCATGCATACGAATTTAATAAAAAATCCGTGAAACATACCAATTTTAAACAAAACGATAATCTTTTAGAATACAATATAAAATTCTCGGAAGATACGAACCAATTCCTTTCAACTAAAATACTTTAGGTTTATAAAATTATTTAAGTAAATTCATATTTCTTAATAATCTATAGATAAACAAAACTGAATAATGTGATAATTATTAAAAGTTTGGCTTTTGTTTCTCAAGAAATCTGGCCTATCAGCCTGGGTGTCTACACATCTAGAAGGTCTTTCATCGTTGCCACATTGGCTGACGTGTGTGTTTCTGACTCTACTGGTGGCCGCCACCACAGAATTCACAAGCAACGCGGCCACAACAACTTTGTTTGTGCCGATAGTGGGGGACCTGGTGAGCAATTTGTCTAGTGTTTCATGCATGTAAAACTCACGTTTTTAATACATGCAGTTACCACATATTTTAAGTTATTGCAGTGACCATATTATTAATCCATAAAATTAACTTCATTTTTAAAATCCATGTCATTACCACAATTTTATATTCATGAAATTGCAACCTTTTTAAAGATGCACGAAATTACCACATTTTAAAATAGTTGAAATAACCTCATTTTTTAAACCCATAAAATTACCCATTCCTTGAAATTTCGACATTATTTCCTTATGAAGTTGCCTCAATTTGTAATTCATAAAAAGCCACAACGATACATCCATGAAATTGTTACATTTTTTCAACCCTCCAAATTAACAAATTTTTCTGAATAAATAGTTTTTTACGGTATTAGAATGATGCCGTAGTTATGTAAATTTATTTATCAGAAGTTTACTTTAAAATTGACTATTTATTACAATGGAAGTAAAATCCTAATTTATAAAAAAAAACATTGTAAATTGCTAATCTAGTTTAAACTGTTGCAAGGGTTAGTCTTCAGCCCCCTATACTTGATTATCCTAATGTTCTATGTCCAGGCTATAAGCTAGGGGTCGATGATCCTAATGTTCTATGTCCAGGCTATAAGCTAGGGGTCAATTATCCTAATGTTCTATGTCCAGGCTATAAGCTAGGGGTCAATGATCCTAGTGTTCTATGTCCAGGCTATAAGACTAGGGATCAACCCCCTATACTTCATGATCCAATTGTTCTATATCCAGGCTATAAGGCTAGGGGTCAATGATCCAATTGTTCTATGTCAAGGCTATAAAGCTAGGGGTCAATGATCCTAATGTTCTATGTCCAGGCTATAAGCTAGGGGTCAATGATCCAATTGTTCTATATCCTTCCTATAAGGCTAGGTGTCAATGATCCTATTTTTCTATGTCCAGGCTTTAGATTAGGGATCAACCCCCTATACTTCATGATCCTAATGTTCTATGTCCATAAGACTAGGTGTCGAACCCCTATACTTCATGATCCAAATGTTCTATATCCAGGCTATAAGGCTAGGGGTCAATGATCCTAATGTTCTATGTCCATGCTAGGGGTCAATGATCCTAATGTTCTATGTCCAGGCTATAAGACTAGGTGTCAATGATCCTAATGTTCTATGTCCAGGCTATAAGGCTAGGTGTCAATGATCCTAATGTTCTATGTCCAGGCTATAAGACTAGGTGTCAATGATCCTAATGTTCTATGTCCATGCTAGGTGTCAATGATCCTAATGTTCTATGTCCATGCTAGGTGTCAATGATCCTAATGTTCTATGTCCAAGCTATAAGGCTAGGGGTCAATGATCCTAATGTTCTATGTCCATGCTAGGTGTCAATGATCCTAATGTTCTATGTCCAGGCTATAAGGCTAGGGGTCAACCCCCTGTACTTCATGATCCCTTGCACCATCTCTGCATCCCTGGCTTTCCTGCTACCTGTGGCGACCCCATCCAACGCCATCGTGTTTGCTACTGGCTACCTTAAGGTCAAGGACATGGTGAGTACTGAACCACGCAAGGTTACTTAAGTTACAAGAAGATTACTTGAAGATTTGCTAATGATGGTATATTTTCACATTACAATCAGTTCAAGCTAGAAAAAATAGCTGTTTGTAAATGATTAATATCAAGCTAGTATGAAATCATGAGTAAATCAATTAGAATAAAAGTTAAAATGGCAAATCAACGCGAATGTATCATCAGATAGTGCTTTGTTTTTGGTTTTTTTTTATAAATTCATTTAGCCATTAATAATGTATTTATAGACTTTCAGTTGCGGATTTATTTTATTATAGGTCTACTGTTCTATTCTGTGTAGAGCTCTCTAATAGAAACTAGCTAGAATTGAAAAAAAGAAGTTTACTTACAAAATATCTAGTGAAAATAGTTTTCTTTTATAGTCTTAACAATATAAATTTGCTAGTCAAAACCAAATGGTTACTTATCAATGTTTTATCACTGAACATCTTTTCAAAGAGAGAAAAGTAATAATAACTTATAACCAAATCAAAATATATACTAACTAAGCTATTCACAACACACAAATGTACAAAATAGGGAGATAATACTAGATTAGTTTGTCAGTTTAAATTAATTACTTATTAATTATTAATTAGGATGATGAATTATTTTGTTAAACGTTTTTCTAAAATGGTACAAAATAATTACTAACTACTTTTTCTTTTAGGTTATAAGTGGACTTCCAATTAATACATTTGCAATCATTATGCTGATAATAGCTTGCAATTCATGGGTTGCTTCCCTTTACGACCTCTTCAACCTCCCTCCAGAATTTCAACACACCAAGAACACTACCAATATACCACCAATTTTTATCAACGCTACGTCGTTCAACATATCTTTAGTTGGTGGACTTTGATGTTGATGTTGATGTGTAACTTTGTGGAATTTGATGTTGGTGTTGTTGTTTAACTTTGTTAACTTTGATGTTGGTGTTGATGCTAAACTTTTGAAACTTTGATGATGGCGTTGATGATTAACAGTATACTCCAGCATTAGAGAGCTAGAATTCAATTCCTGGGATGACTTTCTGAACATTCCAGAAAAAAAAATCACGTAAGGTTTCAGATACTTCCAATGACAAAGAAGATACCTTACATCTGATCAGATTCAGGAGTTCAAAGATAAATACAAGTGTAAATATTAAATAAGTTTAAACTTATCCTAATTCATTGATTTTTTTAAACTGAGATTTACAATAAAAATGGTATTCAGAAATAAACTTAATCACACTGATTTAAATCGATAATATAAAATATTAATATATTTTGACATTCGTATTTATAATGATTAGTATCAGTAATATTGTTTGTTACAAAACACATAATTATAGTGTATTTTAATTTTGATTAAGTCAATATTTGCCAAATATTTATGTTTGAAATAAATGTTAAATATGTGTTGTGTTTGGTATCAGTTGTAGAGGGTTGTTGTTAAGTGTGCAACCATTTTAAAATTATTTTATGACCAGAGGCGTAGTTAGGATTTTCTTAAGGTGGGGTGGTTTATCTTCATTATATATATATATATATATATATATATATATATATATATATATATATATATATATATTTATATATATATATATATATATATATATATATATATATATATATATATATATATATACCAGGTTTAGATGGGGGGGTTTAGACATAGGTAAAAGAAATCTTTTCTACGCCACTGTTCATACTTGTAAAGTTTGTTTATTAAAACATTTTATAAAGATTTAAATTAATTTTGAGAGCGCATTTATTATTTTTTTATGTTCCTACCTTTAGAAAATGCCAATTTTTAAAACCAAAGTTTTTTTGTATCTGTTTGTTTGTTGTTTTTATGAGCAGTATTTTTTATATTTTTTGTTACTTAGTTAGCTAGAAATAAATGAAGTATGTAACTCATAAACTTATGAACCTATAAAATACTTATTTGTTTAGTACGATGTATATTTGTGCAAAGAAATAGCAAGTTAAAAGTCAATTTACATTTTGGCTGTGTACTATACTAAGCGACCATTATTTTTATAAGCCAAACATTAAAAAAATGTGTATTTGATTATTTAACTAAAATGTATTTTAAGTTATAAGGCAACACATTCCAATGGACATCAGATATATAAAAAATGCAGGCCTTTGTATGAAATAAATATTTTTTATTAGACAGGGAAGAGAGGGGAGGGGTCATGTTTGACGTGATGTGTGTGTGTGTGTGTGGGGGGGGGGTGATCTGACGAGGTCTGACAATAGGAAGGCAGATAATGTAAACATACCAGATTCGCCATATTTTTCCTTTGCTTTTTTAAAGCATTGTATGGCTTACATAAAGTGACCACTCGCTAGGATTATCATCTTCTATGGAAAAGTGACGTGGGAGGGGGGTTAATGTTGGTTATTGATGAATAGTACTGTATATCTGAGGTAAATTACAAAGAAATCTAAAACGTCAAAATGGGTCTGATCTCTAAAATGTAATACTTTGTTTATAGAAATTTCAAGTCAATTAAAAATGGAATATTAAAACCACATAATTTACATATCAAGTTTTAAACTTTGTGTGCATGCTCAAAGTTGCATATGAGGCTATATTTTACTGTCTAAGGCTACATTATACTGTCTAAGGCTACATTATACGGTATAAGGATACATTATACGGTCTAAGGCTATATTATACTGTGTAAGGCTACATTATACTGTCTGAGGTTACACTGTAATGCCTGAGGCTTCATTATACTGTACGCGGCTACATTATGCTGATTAATGTTCTATATATAACTTGAATGCCATTGTTATGATTGTATTGTTGATAAACATTTTCAAACCTTTCCATTGTTAATCTAAACATTTCTTTTTGTTTATGTGATAAAGAGTAGACTTGTCATTGAATTATATCAACGTACAAATTGCTGTATATGCTGAATTTGTTGATTTGTTTATACAGTATTCAATTACTAATGTACAACATATGACATTATTTTTAATTAATTTGTGATGACGATACCTCAAATTTTGAAAGTGTTACGAAAGTGGTTTTTATATGTTGTGACTGTTATTTCCAAAGAAACCTAATAAATTTTGTTTTGTTTCTTGCAAGATGTGATGGAATAGAAGACTGTTTTTGCTAACGAAAATTAATATTCTTAGCCAACCCAGCTTCAACTAGCTCCCTGCATAAGTTGGAAGATGGTTAAGTAACAAAGGTTAATGAGTAGAGAGACAAAAAATTTATATGCTGTCATTGTTGATGTACTTTATTTACAAAGTGTTTAAATTAAAATAACTGCCATACGACTTTTGAAAAGTTCATTAATAAAAAATAATGTGCATTATACATTGTTTTAGACTTCTATTTTATCCAGACGTGAAATCATTTAAGCTTTATTATTAGATTTCATTTTTAAATAAAGGCCTACATAGTCGCAGGTGTAAGAGATAGAGTCTCAGCTTATAAAATTTGTTTACAAGTATATCTACCGTTTGACTGCGTGGCCTAGCTGTAGAGCGCTAGACAGCTAACACGAAAGTGTTCAAGTTCAAATCCAGGTTCAAGTCTGTAATACGTCCATGAGTCTATCCAGTTCTGATGGGTACCTAAATGATATTAGGAAAAGACAGTAGTAGCACCGACGGTAAAAGAGAGGTAATATGGTAGTAGCACCGACAGAAGCCTGACCGCAGTAGCACCGACAGAAGAAGAACCGACAGAAGTAGAACGGCAGTAGTGGAATCAGAGGCGGGGATGCAAATCGAAAGTTTGAGGGGGAGGGGGTGCAAATCGAAAATTTGTCCCCGTGAAGGGTCGCTACGCCTCTGGGGGTGACACCATTAAGTGCCGCACCGGGTGACACCCGACCTCGCTAGGCCACTGAGTGGAATCATAATAAGATGTTAGGAAAATCCCAAGAAATATTCAATTTCATGTTTGCATTTGATACAACACGAAAAGGGAAATTCCCGATGACGACCTTTTTAGCACTGTGTTGTGTTTGCGCCAAGGTACACAAACGATTGTGACAGCATCTATTCTGTATACTAAGTCCTAGATAATAGATATTCGTACTGTATTCAGCTTTTAAAGAAATTTAAAAGAAAAGAACGAATTAGACTTATAAGATGGTTCAAATAACTCTTACTTTGTTGTTTCAAGGTAAATCTAAGTATTTTTATATAATTATCTATTTATTAGTAATTTATTACATTAGATAGATCTAGATTCTAGATTTAGATCTAGATCCAGAAATCTAGATCTAGATCTAGATCTTGATCTAAATTTTTAATGGACATGTCCGAGTTGACGAGAATCCTTCCACCATTACTGTTGAGTTGGATAAAAACGTGGGAACTCTTTATATTTTGCAATCAAATAATTAAAAAAACAACTTAAGCCTGAAATTAAATCCGAAATTTAATATTTTTAGAATCAATGTTATAAAAGTTGCAAACCCAGAGAACTTGGGAATAAATTGTATAGCCTAGTTTAAGTCTACATTTCTATTTTCATCAAGTTAAAAGTTTTAACCGGATGTTTCACTTTCGTAAGACAAACATTGATTGGCTGTACAGGAACTCCGTGATCGATATTCTGAAAACTCCACATCATATAAAAGCTCCTTGTAACTTGTACTCAAAACTTTGCCGATACAAAGTTTAAAGTTTATCCATCTTTGTTTTCAATTTAATATGATAAATGTAAACAATTGAATTGTTTTTAGCTTTTTTTTTTAAATTGCTTAGTTACCGAAAATACTGAAAACGCCAATAACATCTAATCGTTAGTAAAGTCTAACAAAAATCATTCAGTCAAATTTCAATAGCCATATTTTTTTTTTAAAAATAACATCGTTTATGATTTTAAAATATTTAATGGGCCTTTCGAAAAAATCTGCAAAATATTATCAGTTGTGTCCATTAAATTAAAAACATCGTTCTACTTGCATGAACAGCTAACTGATTCAATGGTTGCGTTAGCTTGAGTTCCAGTTTTGCTGGTATATGTGGATAAAACTTGTCATTTTGTTCATTGAAAAACTTGTTCCAGTTTTGCTGGTATATGTGGATAAAACTTGTCATTTTGTTCATTGAAAAACTTGTTCCAGTTTTGCTGGTATATGTGGATAAAACTTGTCATTTTGTTAATTGAAAAACTTGTTCCAGTTTTGTTCGTATATGTGGGTAAAACTTGTCAAAGTATTTTGTTCATTGAAAAACTTGTTCCAGTTTTGCTGGTATATGTGGATAAAACTTGTCATTTTGTTCATTGAAAAACTTGTTCCAGTTTTGCTGGTACCTGTGAATAAAACTTGTCAAAGTATTTTGTTCATTGAAAAACTTGTTCCAGTTTTGCTGGTATATGTGGGTAAAACTTGTCATAGTATTTTGTTCATTAAAAAACTTGTTCCAGTTTTGCTGGTACGTGTGGGAGAAGTCTTGGCCCACACGCTAACACTGGACGAATTCTGTGCCCTGAAACTTCCTGACAGCCGTCGAAGGACCAGTGATCGACTCAGTCTCATGGAAGCCTTCAGGTTTTGCAGGTAATATTCGCACATTAGCACGTTGTTATAGGTAAACTATAGCACATTAGCACGTTGTTATAGGTAAACATTAGCACATCAGCACGTTGGTATAGGTAAACACTAGCACATTTTTATAGGTAAACACTAGCACATTTTTATAGGTAAACACTAGCACATTTTTATAGGTAAACACTAGCACATTTTTATAGGTGGACACTAGCACATTAGCACGTTGTTATAGGTAAACATTAGCACATCAGCACATTTTTATATGTTGACACTAGCACATTTGAACAAATTAAACTATGAGCACATTTGTGGTATAGGCCAGCACATGTGTACATGTAAACATTAGTCCATTGTTAAAAAAAATTGTAGACTCGTTTAGAATTACTTTTATTTTGCCATTGCTCAAATTCGTTTGTTCAATTTTGCCAATCCCCTAAGTCATTATTTCCTTTTAGCCAATCCCTTAAATCATTTCCATTTTGCCAATCCCCTAAACTATTATATCCATTTTGCCAATTCCCTAAACTATTATTTCCATTTTGTCAATCCCCTGAACTATTATTTCCATTTTGCCAATCCCCTAAACTATTATTTCCGTTTTGTTAATTCCCTAAATTATTATTTCCATTTTGCTAATCCCCTAAACTATTATTTCAATTTTGATAATCCCCTAAACTATTATTTCCATTTTGTTAATTCCCTAAATTATTATTTCCATTTTGCTAATCCCCTAAACTACTATTTCCATTTTACCAATATCCTGAACTATTGTTCCATTTTGCCATTCCCCTAAACCATTATTTCTATTTTACCAATCCCCTAAACCATACATTCCCCTGCCGCCAATCCCCAAAACCATACATTCCCCTGCCGCCAATCCCCTAAACCATACATTCCCCTGCCGCCAATCCCCTAAACCATACATTCCCCTGCCGCCAATCCCCTAAACCATACATTCCCCTGCCGCCAATCCCCTAAACCATACATTCCCCTGCCGCCAATCCCCTACATCCTGAGCTCTCTTCTCACCCAAGCGACGCCGACACGTA